TGCTGCGTCCGCCATCGCGGCCGGGTTGGGTTGTTAGGACGGATCTCGTCCTTCCTGCAGGTGTCTCTTCAGATACTTCACAGGGTGGAAAAACTTTTCATCTGCTCCCCGTGCAGGAAAGAGGAATACGCGAGGACAGTAGAAGTGACGCTGATGTATCGAACGCGCATCGTGTTCTTCTAATCGGCGGTGGAACATGTAGAGTCCTGATAGACAGGAAATGTATAAGGAGCAGAGTAGTCCCTAATAGAATCCTTTCCCTGCAATATGACACCGCCAGAGCATCGCCCTTTGAATTTGTTAGCTAACGCAGGTAGACGGGGAACGGATATGATCACTCCCGCTCTCCACCTGCATCCTCGTTGCGTGCCTCTGGATTTCTTTCATGTCGACAGTTTCTGCATAACATTCAATAAATGGCCTGTTAGGTTCTGTACCGCGTAAATTTCGGGTTTTACAAAACAAAATGCTGATTGGTTTTCTCTTTTCTCACACTTTGAATGTGCAGGGCTACGGGGGGCCCCTCTGGGAGAAGTGGACACCGTATGGTTTACACCAAGAGACAGCTGATCGTGTTTGGAGGGTTCCATGAGAGCACGCGGTGAGGCTGCTTATGTGTCTGTGTGTCCTGCTGTGTTATATCTATTCTCTATTCTCCTGCCTGTCCCTTCCCTGCCCTCTATTCTCCTGCCTGTCCCTTCCCTGCCCTCTATTCTCCTGCCTGTCCCTTCCCTGCCCTCTATTCTCCTGCCTGTCCCTTCCCTGCCCTCTATTCTCCTGCCTGTCCCTTCCCTGCCCTCTATTCTCCTGCCTGTCCCTTCCCTGCCCTCTATTCTCCTAGCCCTTTCCCCCCCCTCTAGTCTCCTGCCTGTCCTTTTCCCCTCCCTCTAGTCTCCTGCCTGTCCTTTCCCCCTCCCTCTAGTCTCCTGCCTGTCCTTTCCCCGCCATCTTTTCTTCTTCTTATCCTCTTCCTTGCCCATTGTTCTCCTGCCTGCCCCTTCCCCTCCCTTGCGTGCCATCTCCCATTCTCTGCCTCGGATGCTCGTGGCTGTACAGCCCGTTCCATGATCCTTCCCCTAAAACGCTGTCTACCGATTTGTAGGGACTACATCTACTATAATGACCTGTACACGTTTAACCTCGACACCTTTACGTGGGCCAAGATCTCCCCGTCTGGCACGGGCCCTTCACCGCGATCCGGATGCCAAATGACCACCAGTCAGGATGGCAACGTGGTCCTCTACGGCGGTTATTCCAAGCAGGTGAGTTGTGCCCACAGGCCGCAGCGTTTCTCCACCGTTGTCCATGAT